AAAATAATAATAATAAAGAATAATAAGAAACTAGTATAAACTAATAAAATATAATAATAATAACTATAAAAAAGAAAGAAAAAGAAAATTTTATTACAGTATAAAGTTATTTTTTCCTACTGTAAACTTCTCCAGGATTCCTTTCTACATCGGAAGTTCCATTTCAAATCCAACTTACACCTTCGGGTTTCGGGTTCATATCGCCAATTCCAACTTTTACTCCTTCGGGTTTCAAGAGTTTAACTCCCTTTGTAGAAAAGGAATTTTTAAAAAGGAAGTTGTATGTTTTTTTTTTTACTATGGAAAATAGGTCATCGTTGTTGCAGAGACCCCTAATTATAAATTTTTAATGATTTTTTTTTTATTTTATTTTTTTACTATAGCCATGCTCATGTGCATTTCGATACCCATACTAATGCAAGTCAGTTCTTCCATGCTATGAAAGACAAAACTGATTTCAAATATGGTGTTGTATTTAATACTGCTAAATATTATCGACAATCAAAGAGGGCCGGCGAAAAAGTTAAAGTGACTATTTTTTTATTATTGAAAATCGAACCAGCAATTATATAACTTAAATAAATAAATATATATACTAAAAATACTATATATATCAGTACTTAGCGGATCAACCAACAGTGCTCACCGGATCAACAGTGCCCGCCGGACCAATTGTACCAACCGGACCAATCATCGTTGTTGCAGAAGTCCAGAATTAACAGTCTTAATGACCGGTGGGATCGCATACGTTCCAATTGATGAGCTCGAAGCATGGCTGAGGTCTGAGACTCAGTTGCTATTCATTCATATAAAAAAACCAATTCATGGTGCATAGTAAGTTATTACAGTTATAAATCTTTGTTAAATATATATCTAATTATAAAATTTAATGATTTTTTTTTTTTTTTTACTATAGCCATGCTCATGTTTATTTCGATACCCATACTGATGCGAGTCAGTTTTTCCATGTTATGAAAAACAAAACCAATTTCAAATATGGTGTTGTATTTAATGCTGTTGAATATTATCGATGATCAAAGAGGGCCGGCAAAAAAGTTAAGGTGACTATTTTTTTATTATTGAAAATCAAACTAGCAATTATATAACTTAAATAAATAAATATATATACTAAAAATACTATATATCAGTACTTAGTGGATCAATCAACAGTACCCACCGGACCAATTGTATCAACCGGACCAATCGTTGTTGTTGCAGAAGTCCGGAATTAACAGTCTTAATGTCCGGCACTATCGCATACATTCCAATTGATGAGCTCGAAGCATGGCTGAGGTCCAAGACTCAGTTGCCATTCGTTTACATAAAAAAACTATTTCATAGCGTATAGTAAGTTATTATAGTTATAGTTCTTTGTTTTATATATATCTAATTATAAATTTTTAATGATTTTTTTTTATTTTATTTTTTTATTATAGCCATACTTATGTGCATTTCGATACCCATACTGATACAAGTCAGTTCTTCCATGCTATGAAAAACAAAACCGATTTCAAATATGGTGTTGTATTTAATGCTGCTGAATATTATTGACGATCAAAAAGGGCTGGCGAAAAAGTTTAGGTGATTATTTTTTTATTATTGAAAATCGAACGGCAATTATATAACTTAAATAAATAAATATATATACTAAAAATACTATATATCAGTACTTAGTGAATCAACCAACAGTGCCCACCGGATTAACAGTGCCCGCTGGACCAATTGTGCCAACCGGATTAACAGTGCCCGCTGGACCAATTGTGCCAACCGGACCAATCGTCATTGTTGCAGAAGTCCGGAATTAACAGTCTTAATGACCAGCGGGTTCGCATACGTTCTAATTGATGAGCTCGAAGCATGGCTGAGGTCCGAGACTTAGTTGCCATTCGTTTACATAAAAAAACTATTTCATAGCGCATAGTAAGTTATTACAGTTATAGATCTTTGTTTTATATATACTTAATTATAAATTTTTAATAATTTTTTTTTATTTTATTTTTTTACTATAGCCATGCTCATGTGTATTTCGATATCCATACTAATGCAAGGCAGTTCTTCCATGCTATAAAAACAAAACCGATTTCAAATACCATATAGTTCCGAAAATAAGCTACCTCCAAAAATAAGCTACCCTCCTCTCTCGAAGAAAAATCTTATAAACGCCTTTCTCCCGAAAATAAGCTACCTTTGTGATTTTTCTATTTTCTTAAATAGTTGCTATATATAAAAGTCAAAATTCTACTAAGTAAATCTACAAAAGGCACTTAATAGAGCTTGTTCAGGAGGTAAAAATACACATATCCTGAAAGTTTCATACAAATCGGAGAACTTTTTACTAAGGTGTTTTTGCA